CTAGCATCCTAAGTCCTCTCAGCTACTCTAGCATCCTAAGTCCTCTCAGCTACTCTAGCAGCCTAAGTCCTGTGCCTTCAGGGTGCTGCTCTCTGTGCCAACTGTGGGCGGTAAAGACTTAATCAGAGGAGCTAATCTCTGTCACTAATGTGTTAGCTAATTAATGTGTTTTGACGTCAGATATGATCACATCCTCACCAAATGATGGGCCCTAGTGGTGAATTTTCAGGCATTGTCATTGGCAGTGGGGGAAATATTGAGGGCAGGGGAAGACTTTTTACAACCCCTCAAAGTGGAGAGGCTGTTTTTTCAGAATGAATGAACATTTATTAAGCACTCTGTCATGGATTGAATTGTGTCCCCCAAAAATATCTGTCCACTTGGCTGGGTCATGATTCCCAGTATTGTATGATTGTGTACCATTTTGTAATCTGATGTGATTTCCTTATGCGTTGTAAACTCTATCACTATGATGTAATAAGATGGATTAGCGGCAGTTATACTGATGAGGTGTACAAGATTGGATAGTGTCTTAAGCCAATTTCTTTTGAGATAAAAGAGAGAAGCGAGTGGAGACACACAGGAACCTCATCCACCAAGAAAGCAGTGCCAGGAGCAGAGCGCGTCCTTTGGTCCTGAGGTTCCTGCACTGAGATGCTCCCAGACCAAGGGAAGACTGATGCATCACAAGGACCTTCCTCCAGAGCCAACAGAGGCAGCCTTCTCCTGGAGCTGATGCCCTGAATTTGGGCTCGTAATCTACTAGACTGTGAGAAAATAAATTTCTCTTTGTAAAAGCCATCCACTTATGGTATTTCTGTTATAGCAGCACTAGATGACCAAGACACGCCCCTATAGGCTAGGGTGGAGTCCCTGGGTGGTACAAATGGCTAATGTGCTTGGCTGCTAATGGGCTAAAGTTTGGAGGTTCGAACCCACCAGAGACACCTCAGAAGAAAGGCCCAGAGATCTACTTTTGAAAATCAGCCATGGAAAACCCTATGGAGCACAGTTCTACTCTGACACACATGGGGTCTTCATGAGTCAGAATAGCCTCAACGAGAACTGAAAAAAATTGGCCTAAGGTGCTCATTCATTCTTCTTTCATTCATTAGCAGATATTCATGGAACATTTTTTATAATGTCAGGCACTTTTATAGATGCTGGAGTTACAATGATGACACAAATAGACACGGTTTCTGGTCTTGTGGAGCCCAGTGTCTTGTAGGAGAGAAAGATTGTTATCATCACAACATAAATATAAAATAGTCACGATGAGCAGTGACAGGAGCCTCCAGAAAGCTTTCCCTGAGGAAATTATACTCAGCTGTAATCCAAAGTCTGAAAAAGCAACGAACAACTGAAGAGGGAAGGAAAGAGAGTCCAAGGAGACCAGCATGTGCAAAGGCCCTGTGGAGAGGGTGCATGGTGAGAACAAAGACCGGAAAGAAAGCCAACATGGCTAGAACAGAGATGAGAGGGAGTGGGGCCAGAGTCGAGCCTGGGGAAGCAGGAGATGACAAGAGCTGACACTTACTGAGTGCTTCCTATGCACCAGGCACCACTATAGGCGTTTAAAGCATTTAATTCTCACAGTAGCTATACGAGGTAATACCATTACTACCCCACTTTACAGATGACGAAACTGAGGCACAGGAGGATTCAGAAGGTTACTTGCCCAGGGTCACACTAACAGTAAGTGATAGAGTCAGGCTGTAGATTCAGGCAATATGATCCAGAACTCATTACGTAGTTGACTTCAGTGTCAAATCGTAAAGGTTCTTGAATCAAATGGTTAAGCACTTAACTACTAGCCAAAAGGTTGGTAGTGAGAACTCACCCAGAGTTGTCTCGAAAGAAAGGCAAGCCTAGTGATCTACTTCTGAAAGGTCACAGCCTTGAAAACCCGATGGAGCAGTTCTACTCTGCACACATCGAGTCACCGTGAGTTGGAATCAACTTGATGGCAACTAACAACACGTCTACCCTAACAGCAGTGGGAAGCTATTGACGGGTTTAGCAGGGGATGATGTAATTAGATGTGTTTTGCAAACGTACTGTGGCTGCAGTGTGGACCAGCGAGGAACAGGAATGAGTCCAGAGCAGGGTACCATATACCCGTTAGGAAGCTATGGCACTAGAACTTGGAAGCCTGGACTAGGGTAGGTGGGTGTGCTGAAGACAAAGAAGATTGGATGGATTTGAGAGAAATTTAGGAAGTAAAATCCGCAGGACTTGGTGACTGACTGGATATGGGTATCGTATTAGTTTCCCAGGGCTGCCATAGCAAAGCACCATAAATTGAGAATTTTATTTTCTTACAGTTTTGGAGGCTAGGAGTCCAAATCACGGTATTGGCCATGTGGGTTTCTTCTGAGGACTCTGAGGGAGAGTCTGTTCTCTGCCTGTCTTCCAGCTTCAGCTTATGGCCAGCGATCTTTGGAGTTCTTTGGTTTCTGGAGCATTCCAAAGGAGCCCTGGTGGTGCAATGGTTAAGCGCTCAGCTGATTATCAAAAGGTTGGTGGTGGGAACCCACCTAGCGGCTCTGTGGGAGAAAGACCTGGAGATCTGCTCCCATAAAGATTACAGCCTAGAAAATGCTATGGAGCAGTTCTACTCTGTCACATGGGGTCGCTATTAGTCAAAAGGTGACTTGATGGCACCTAACAACAACAGAACACTCCCACCTCTGCCTTCGTCTACACATGGCTGCCTTCCTTCTGTGATCTGGGTCCCTTCTTCTCTTTTATAAGGATACCACTATAATTGGATAGGACCTACCCTACTCCAGTAGAACCTCAGTTAAGTAATTACATCTTTAAAGATCCTGTTTCCTAAATAAGGTCACATTCACAGGTACCAGGGGTTAGGACTTCAACATACATTTTGGTGGACACAGTTTAATCCGTAACAGGGAGTGAGGACATGAGGAGGTTTCTAGATGG